TAAGTTATGTATATTTCGCAGTCACAACCGATATAAAAAGAATTAAAAGGATAGTTCTAAAGTAACAAAATATAAACTGAAACTGACAGGTTTTTCAAAGCCCTGTTAATGCTAGATTAAGTTAAAGCAGATTTTTCAAAGCTTATTTTTCGATTAAAATCGAAATAAAAGTAGGCAAGAAAACGAATTAAAAAGAAATGCAACGCTTTTTTTTGTTTTGCTTTTTCAATCAATGTTATTTGAAATTAAAAACAAACATACTTTAATTTTCAGAAAATATAACGTTATTTTGTTACAACTATCTATTTAAATATTTTTAAAACCATTGCTCCTTTAAGAACATTTTCTAACAATTGTTTACGAACACATATTCATACAAATTAGAAACTTTAAGTGCTCCAACAAATCCGCATTTAATTTAATTTATTAAACTGAAATTATCTATTTGCACGGCCTAAACAGTGGAAACAGTCTCGATAAATTATTATATTCTAATTATGACATTTATATACGTTAATTACCTATTTACTAAAAGCGGTACTTAACTAGGGCTTTTGCCATTTATTGTTTTAATGCTAAATGCAAAATCAGAATAATTTCTCCATTATTATGACCATTTATATGAATTTAAGCTAGTATATGGTTGCTAGTTAATATAATTTAATGGTGATAGTCAGGAATAAAGTATTAAGCTGAATTACTTTCATACTAATTATTAATTAATATAATTAATTTCATAATGACTTTGAAGAATCATTTTGTTTAAGAATTGACGAGGGAAATGTCTACATTTTAGCTGCTAAAGCACTTATTCAAAAGTTTGAAATTTTGTTCAGAATGAAAATTTCAACCAATCCGAAACCTTTTACATTTGATGCTTTTACCTTAATCTGCTCATAAAATTTCTAAACAAAATCAACTTTCAAGTATTTGATAAAAAACAACTATTTAATTTTAACTAACTATTTTTTTTTCACTTATTATATCCAATAGCTAAATAAAAATGTAAAAAACTTAAAACAATGTTTAATAATTAAAAAATTGTAAAATTATGCACATAACTATAAAATGCAAGTTAACTTTTTAAAACAATTTTGTAAATGCCTGTTATATATATATATACAGATGGATGACAAAATAATACGAACACCTGTGAAAAAGTGTGACTTATTTCACACCTGCAGTACAGCCGCGCCACCTGCAACAGAAGTCTGTCACCTAGTGAGCGTGAAGAGGAAGCTATCAGTCTCTCAACATTAGTCACCTGTGTTGCATGAGTTTATCTAACTAGCTTTTATGAGGTGAAATGTCTGACCTGTCAGAATTCCAAAGAGGGATGATTGTTGGGGCGCGTTTAAGTGGAGCATCGGTGACAGAAACAGCAAACCTTTTGGGGTTTGCAAGAAGTACTGTATCAGCCGTTATGACAGCATACATGAAAGAAGGTAAGACGAAGTCTTTAAAGCAAAACAGTGGCCGAAAGTCAAAGCTTGATAATCGGATAGACGTGTCTTGCAGCGCGTAGTAGCTCAAAAATACAAGCAATCGTTATCGAGATAACATCAGACATGAACAGTCATCTTCAGGACCCCGTTTCAACAAGAACTGTTCAAAGAGAACTTCATGCAGCGAACATTTATGGGAGAGTGGCAATTCGTAAACCCTAGGTGAGAGCAACCAATGCTTTCAAGCGCAGTCAGTGGTGTAGAGGTCACAAAGGCTGGTCCCCACAGCAGTGGCAGCAGGTAATATGGTCCGATGAATCATCCTTCACCTTATTTCAGACCACCGGACGCGTTTATGTCTGGAGATCACCCAAAGAAACGTTTGATCCTGAAAGCCTCTTACCAAACTGTGAAACATGGAGGTGGTTCCATTATGATTTGGGGTGCGATATCTTGGCGTGGTCTTGGGCCACTAGTACGTCTGCATGGGAGAATCAAATCTATTGACTATCTAAGCGTTCTAGCGGATCATGTTCATCCTTTTGTACAGACTGTATTCCCTGGAGAGCGACCGATTTTTCAAGACGACAACGCCCCTATCTACACCGTTAGGTGCGTTCAAACATGGTTCGAAGAGCATGACAATGAAGTTGAACATCTCGTCTGGTCCCCTCAGTCTCCGGACTTAAATATTATTGAACATTTGTGGCAATATTTGGAGTCTAAACTTCGTTCCCTATTCCCACCTCCATCAAATCTTTTGGAATTAGAGGCCGCTTTGCAAGAGGAATGGCTTAATATTCCTTTAAACGTTGTCCATGACCTTTATGCATCGATCCCACGTCGTATTAAATCTGTAATTCAGTCAAAGGGTGGTCCAACTCCTTATTAATAAAGATTTTCTGACCTGTAGGACTGACGAGAAAAACTTCGACATATTGGAAGTTCGACTTACCGTTAGTTTCGGTTTTGGACTTTTAAAATATTGTCGGATTATTTGATTGATGCTTATTAATTACAAATCTTCTAAATGCTTACAATATTTAAGATCATTTTTCTCACAAGCCTCTTACGATAAGACTGTTTGAAGCACTTTATGATACCCTGGTCCATCGGCTGCAACTTTGCAGTTGTGTTTGGCGGGACAAGTTTACTGCTTACAAATTAGGTAGATAACTTATGCGTTGTGCATTTATCCATAAAAAGTATCACTTTTCTTTTTTTAGCTAAGAATTTCCGATCCAATTTTCTTACATAGTCTTCAAATAAAACTGATTTCATCCAGAACTTTTTGTTAGACTTCTAATCCAAAGAATACGTTTTTGCATTCTTGAAACATCGGGGATTTCGGTATTTTCCTCCAACTAGGACAGTCAAACGATCCTTGCTCATTTTACCCCCCGAGCAGTTTTCATCCTTAAACATAGTCTTATTTGGAAGAAAAATAAACCCATTTCATCAATATTGAAAACATCATTTTAACTGTATCCTTGAAGTAAATTTGGTAACGTTTCATTTAACCACTGTTCACATACTTCAAGAGGGACAGCTTTAGCTTCTCCATGAAGAGTGCGAAAGACATTGTGTGCGTGTTGCAAAGGAAGGGGCAAGATATCAGCTCCCAGGTTTTTCTTTTTGCTTTAAAAGATAAAAAAAAATCGAGTTAAAGGGAGTAAAATTCGAGTAATCGAGAATAATTAACATGAAATTGAAGATAAAAGGGTCGTACTTCATAAAAAAAATCGAGTTATAGTAATATTCGAGTTATCGTACTTCGAGTTATAGCGAATTGACTGTATATATATATATATATTGATTTCCTTTGTTTTTTCATAACTTTATTCAACCTGTTGTGAATAAATTTCTTACACATGAACATTCTTTATGAATGTATTACATCTCACAATCTAAATTTGTGGTAATGTAGGGAAAAAATGAATATACACCTGTATTTCTTTCGAATCATCATTGCGGATCTTTCGAATCATCATCTTACTTCGTCAAAAATAGCCAAGTAGCATAGCTATAGTGGAACTTTAGCAACCAAATCAACCCAATAACATATTTATGCTTAGATTATAGTATTTCACCACAACATGCAAAAAAAGGTTAATTTAGTTTTTGAACAATAGTTTAAATTTTTTATAATAATTCAATATTTCAAATTTATTGCTTTCTATTTTCCTTATCCCCAGTTTTTCCACTCAGTACATGTTTCAATAAAATCAGATTCTTGCAAGTGACTTCATCGTTGGTAAATCATGGCATTTGTCGACTCAGAAACCAATCAGGTTTGACAAACACGCGTGCCGCTCCCAGGGATCCAATTAAATCTGATTTAAATCGCATAGTTAGGCATAATCGCTTCACTTCTTCCTTAGTTGCGTGTACCAATTGAAACCAGTAAAGACAATACTTAATCATTAAATAACTAAAAATCATTAATTATTGGTACTTGCAACTCGAGAAGAAGTGAAATAATTATGCCTAACCAAGTGATTTAAATCAGTTTTAAATGGATACCTGTAAACGATATCACACGTGTGAGTGGAGCATGATTGGTTTCAGAATCAACAAATGCCACGATTTACCAACAATGACGTCACTTACAGTTATCATGGAAATCATCAATAAAATCCCTCCCAACGACATCAAAATATACTCTGATGGCAATAAAATGGATAGGCAGACAGGCAGTGGAGTGTTTATTGAAACACCTCGAGAGAGCTACACTCTTCATCAACGCAACCCCGTTTTTTGTTCCGTCTTTGGAAGCGAACTAATTGCAATCGACAGGAGACTAGAGAAAATGTTGAGTGAAGGGCACTTTGGAAATACTTGGATACTATCTGACAGCCGTAGTTCAATTCAACATCTCAAAAATTGGGCCCTCATTATAGATAAAACCAGTTTTTCGATCTTACAAAAAGTAAAGCTCATTTCCCAGCAGCATGAAGTCCACTTTCAATGCATCCTGTCCCACGTCGATATCCACGGAAACGAGTTGGCTGACACTCTTGCAAAGAAGGGATTAGACCATCCAGTCCCCTCCACCTCAGAGCTTATATACCTTGAACTTTTCGCAAGGCAAAAGGCCCGGAACAAACAAAAGTGGCTGCTTCCACCTATTCACTACTGGTATAAAGCAAAAAGACCAGGACTCTCTCTATCTCTTCCTGGTGACAGGCAGACCAACACTTGCTTATCCCGACTGGCCTGAAAAGTCACATATTTTCTGCTAATCAGAAGATCTTTCCTCTTTGCCCTAAATGCCAACAAAACCAGGCATCACCTGAGCACATCTTGAACTGTTTAGGGCTGGACTGGAACGACTTTCTTTCCTCTCCCCTTTTAGTTTCGGACTTCCTAAATGTTAACGGATTTATTGATCTGGTCTGACTCCATCAGACCAGATGGGAATTAGCAACAACAACAACACAATTATCCAATTCCAAAATTTTGACCACAAGATTTAAAAAGTTCCGACACTGACATCCTTTATATGCAAGTATCTTTATCAATTGGAATATTTAACCTTTCTCAACTTTTTTCCAGCTTTCAAAATCTGGTAGAAGCACAGTCTATCTAAGGAACGTTAGTTTGGAAACCGAAGGCCGCTTCACATGCCAGGTCTCTGCTGACGAGCCATTTTTTGGCTGTGTTCAAGTACATAGAGATATTTCTGTTTATGGTTCGTAAATTTTTAAAAATTATCTTATTTCAAAGTCTTTTTTAAATTGAATGGATTAGTTTTAACATATGTTAACAATATGTGAAACTTAATGAGAGATACAAAATGAGAATTTATTTAATAAGAAATGTGATCAAAAACGCAAAAGTAGTTTAAAATTAATAGAAAGAGCTGTACTTTGCCCAAATTTTAATTTTTTTTACACAGTAATAATCCAAATAATTCAAACATTTTCTGAGAAACACAATTTACATTTGTTTGGTACTATTTTTTTGGGAAATAAACTTCAGCAAAAAAATTAATAAATTCTTTATAAAAATTGGTTAGTGGTGTTGCTCCTTTGGCCATTGGATACTACGCATTGAATAGCACCCATTTTCAAACTTGAAAGACTCTTTTAAACTTTATTGAAGAGGGATAGACACGAATTAAAACTTCTTTTTAACAATATTTCCAAGTTACCTGTATTGGGGCTGGGATAGCCTGGTCGGTAGGGCGCTGGGCCCATATCCAAGAGGTCGTGGGTTCGATCCTCGCCGGCCGAAGACTCCCCGTGTAGTAAATGGTGACTGATGCACGTTAAATCTGTCGAGTCTCAAAGTCCTCCATGTTCCCTCAACAAATCAATACCTCTGGGGGTACTGATCCAGGAGTTTCCTTGTCTTCTGGATTGGTTCAAAATTGCAAGGCTACGGAGTTGAACGTTGGTAGTCGTAAACCCATGAAATTGGGTTGGCTGTTCAACGAAGGTTATAAAATAAAATGAAAAGTTACCTGTATTATCGTAATTAAATTAAAAGAATCAAAAGCTTTTTACCAAATAATATTTTTGCGTAATATTTGAATAAGAAAACTATGTAAGCCCCAAGAAAATAAACATTTTTTGAGTATTGTATGTTGCTAAGTCCAAAAGGAATTATATTTGTACTTACTAGCTTACAAAAGCACCTATTGCACATACTTTAGCCTATCCAACGTACAATTATGACATTGATTTAAAGCATAACAAGCAAATATTTTTTATGTTTCGTTAGGCTTAGAAAAAATAAGAAATTTCTCTTAAAAATGGTTTATTCTTTAATAAAGTTCTACATTTTGCTATTTATCTACCTCGGTTTTATTTTAAGATATAAGTGCTTCAGTGTTTTACATTTCCTATAAGTTTGATTGGGAAAAAAATACACAGCAACTAGAAAATAAAATAAAAGAGAAAAATATCTTATTTTAAAAAAAATGCAATGTCAGAATGATACCAGCAAGTAAATATGCAGCTTCTACTTATGATGGTCTGAAGTCAATATTTGCAAAGCTGTTTTAATGGTAGTAGTCATAGAAAAAGTCATTAAATAACGTCAATTAAAAATTAAAAAGCATAAAAGTATTTTTCGCAAAACTATTTTTCACGGCAGTGGATGTCAACACTTCATTAGCTCAGCTGTGACTTGAAGAATATTTTTCTTTCTATTTTACGATTGACTAAAAGACGCGTATAAATAGTTTAGAAAACGTTAAGTTGATTCTCTTGGCTTTATTCCATATTCAATGATGGATGCTGGCTGATTGTTAGAACTGAACTTTAATGCTTGGAATTTACTCAAATGTAATGTCCTTAGTCCTACGGATCTTTAAGTCCACACACAATTTTTTACAGGGTAGTGTAAATATCAGATGCTGACTAGCACACTGTGGAAAAAATATGTTCATAACTCCTAGAATATGGTTAAAATTATCGTGTTTCTTGCTCTATGGGAACACCAAAACACTCCGTAATTTTTACCGAAATACTTTGGTAATGGTTTTGGTAAAATTAACAAAAAGATATTGCTTTGTAATATGCGATAGAATTTAGTAAATGTGGCAAAATTTAGTGATTTTATCATGATTTCTTTATGGTATAAAAACCGTTCATTCGGTGAAAATTACTTTTTAGTTTAATTTTTCTTACCAGATATGTCGTATTAAAAACTATATTCTTGAAAATCAGAATTTTTGGTAAACTGCTACCATGTGAACGGAAAAATACCAAAAAAATGGTTTGTAAATACCATATATTTTGGTTGTATTACCAGAATTATGTTGTTTTTTACCAAAAATGTCATTACCATGCAGTGCGTTAATTTTAACAGAATTTTTTTTCTCTGTGTAGCATCCACTTCTTCTACCATTGTGATATTATAGGACACGCAGGTCTTATACCACCACAGTATTCATGAATTTTGTTTTCAGATCTGTACTAAGAATTAATCCCAAACCATCGCCAAAAGCCCATTAGTGCAAACCTAGTGTAGCCTAAATAATTGAAACAAAGAAACCATTCAAGTGACCTGAAAATAAATAGTATATTTGATTTTAGCACTTAAAAATTCATTGAAATTTTTTTTAATCAAAGTCTGATCTTACACTTGGTGTTATTTATTAAGAAGACCGAAAAGTAATGTTGTTTCGGTGAATTAAATATTCATTAGTCTTAAAATTCAATTCATTTGTTTAATCCCTTTCTATTCATTTTCGATTGCTAACGAGGGTAAGTAAAAATAAAATCTTGATAACAAATATCAAAGGCACAGAAACGACATTACTTTCCTGTCCCCCTAACACTTGTCAGAGGCTTAAATTTATCTTCACCACTGATACAGACGATCACTAATAATATCACAACTTCAATAATTTTATTAACATCATTAATTTGATTTTTAAATGATGACAACATTTTTCATGTCAATTTGTAAATACATAAATTATTCTTAAACCATTTTCAACTATTAGTTATTAAGACTGATAATGTTTTTAAACTCTATAAATAACGAATCATCACGCATTATTGCACATTTTTTTACGAACTGCAAATCTAATTATAATCGGGAGATCTATTTAAAAAATTAAAAAGGTACCCAAAAATTACTTATGCGCATAATGTCAGGCGTTGTTAATAATTTATGTACTTTTAAACTAGATTGTTTAGCATTTTACAGATAAGCTAATAGGCATTAATGTTTTAATAGGTATTGCGCGAAAATGTGTATTTATCTAATGCATATCTCAAACTACATTTTTTTCAGATGACACTTTTAAGGCAAAGGAGTATTTTTTTGCATAAATATCACATTTATTATGCTATTAAAGAATCATTACTGTGTAACTCCGATTTCAAGAGAAGTATAGCTAGATTATAAAATACTTAAATTTGAGAGACGATGAAAATAGTATTAATTGCTTTAAAAGAAATTAGAAAAAATAATAATTAATGACGAGTTTTCTTCCTAACTAAGTTTATGACGAAACTATCAAACGATACTTAATTTCTCCTTGACTGATTTTTAAAAATAATCAATTGAACTTAACGATAATTCATATGATGAATTTTTCAGTTGTAGTTTTTATTCTCAATGGTATTAATGTTAGTAAAATGTAAGAAGTTTTTCTTTTACACAATATCTTTTCCTTTACATTTTAAATATTCAAAGACTTAAATATCTCTTAATAAATCAAAGATTTTAAGAAATATTGAATTAATTATTATTATCTCTTAAAAGATAATATTTTCTTATGGAAGTTTGAAAGAAAAAATTAAAATATAAGTATAAATGTACTCACTAAATCTTGTTTTTTATTCCAAATTCTTTTTAACTAAAATACATTCATAAATTTGTCAGTCATTATTTAAATCATTTTTATAATTTTGTGTATGACGTATGCAAAAATATTTGAACGGAATGCACTTATTGAAAAATATCAATAAGGTATGGTAAATTTAAACGTAATCCCTAAATCAAAAAAATACGAGAAAAATAAAGTTAATGAAATGTCACTCACCCTGAGTTACGTTAGTTTTCAATATATTTCCTCCTTTAAAAATCAAAGAGTCCTTTCATGAAACTATATAGTCTCACAATAGGTAATTGTGTTTATTTCAATTTCAAAAGGGGTCAATACTTTAAGTTACGTCTAAAATTGCATTACCTTAGTTTTGAGTAAAAAATGAAATTCAATTTGACGTGTATTCAACTAGCAGAATTCATCTCCTTTTATTCATGTTAGGTGTCTCACGTTTCTGACATGGATTTGTAGAAATGAATTTTTAACGAATCTTAAACAAATTTCGCACAGACACTTGACGAACTAAGCTGCCTTAATCATTATTTTTACAATCCTAAGATTTGGGGATAGTATTAAGTGGTCCATTTTGTTATTAAATGGGTATTTAATCACTTTTTGCTTGATCCTTGATCATCCATGAATTATATCCAGTTTTCCAAAATCTTTTTCAAAGGAATCTGAATAAGTTCATATGTTATCTTGAAGTTGTTCAAATATTCTTGAAAGGATTTTTTTTAAGCTTAAATAAGATACAAAGTTTTCTTTTGCTTTAAAAAGTACCATTAAGCTACCATAAAAGAGCCATCAAACTTCCTTACACGAATTTTTTGCTTATAATGCATTAGGCTGCCATTGTAATCCATTCTAATATGAACCATAGCAGCCAGAATCATCAATATTTCGCTTTACTTTGTCACTCCAAACAGTTTAAATTATTTTTAAAACGAAAAACATGCAACAGAAAGTAAAATTACTAAATTTATCTTTTAATGAATTTCACTTTTCATTGTAAACACTTATAAAATATTTTTGCTGGCGATTTTTACACGTTTTAACGTCTCAGATGAAATAAAATCCAGTTAAATTTATATTCAGGTTTATTTTAACTTTTAAAGCTTACTTATGTTGATTCATAATATAAATCACAACACTGTCAATTACATGATACCGAGGAATAAGTGCCATTTGAACAGCTAAATACTGGTCATTTATAAGTTTTAGTTTGCATTCAGAAGTTTTATTTATTACTTTATTTTCATATTTTCTAAAATTATTATTGAATTATTATCGCTAATTTAAAATAAGTAAAGTTTTCTTCTTCAATATGCTAAAGCTAAATTTTATGATGTTTTTATTCATTATTTTTCGTAATACCTAATATTAATTGCTTCTTAAAAATTTTA